AAATGCACCTAGGAAAAGCATAAGTAGATGAGTAGTTTCCTCCTTCATCTATCCCCTATTCCTTTTTTTTTTTTGTCTTTGGAGACAGGGTCTCCCTGTAGCCCCAGCTGGCCTGAAACTCACTATGTAGACCAGACTAGCCTTGAGCTACAGAGATCCGCCTACGTCTGCCTCCCAAGTGCTGTGATTAAAGGTATGTGCCACCACACCTGGTTTATAAAATTGGGTTTTTTGTTTTTTTTTTTTTTCCTGTCTTTTTGAGACAGGGTCTCCCTGTAGCCCCAGCTGCCCTGGAACTCACTATGTAGACCAGGCTGGCCTTGAATTCACAGAGATCTGCCTGCCTCTGCCTCCCGATGCTGGGATTAAAGGCATGCACCACCATGCCCGGCCAAAATAGGTAATTTAAAAAAATTACTTATTTTATGTGTATGAGTCAGAGAGGGTATTGGATTCCTTGGAACTGGATACAGACAGTTGTTAGCTGCCATGTGGGTGCTGGGAATTGAATCCAAATCCTCTGCAAGAGCAGCCATTGCTTTTAACCACTGAGCTGTCTCTCATAGTCTTGTCTCCATCCATTTCTTTAGTGCAAACTTGTATACAGCTTTGTGTTGCCTGAGCATTTTCAGAGCCAGAGCTTCTGCTCTTGCCCATGTTTAGTTGTTTTGTTTTGTTTTTGTTTACGATAGGGTCTTACCATGTGGACCTGGCTGGCCTCAAACTTGTGGTGATGTTCCTGCTGCTGCCTCTGCCTTCTGAGTACTAGGGATTACAGTTGTGTGCCGCCACACTGAGGTGTTCACATCTTTAGCCACCCTTGCTAAGGAATTTTGGTCTATATAATAGATAATATTGTAGTGAAAATATTTTCCGTAATAGTACTTTGTGATTCACTTTAAGTTGATAAATCATACAACACTTCTGTGCTGTAGTCAGGTGGCATTATGAATCATCTTATATTGCTTGAAGAATTTATATTTATTATTACATATGAAAGTACTTTTCCCTTTTAGTTAAAAAGCTATTAATTAACCCGGGCTTGGTGGCGCATGCCTGTAATCCCAGCACTTGGGAGGCAGAGCCAGGCGGATCTCTGTAAGTTCAAGGCCTGCCTTGTCTACATAGTGAGTTCCAGGGCAGCTGGGGCTACAGGGAGACCCAGTCTCAAAAAGACTGAAAAAAAAAAAAAAGCTATTAATTAATGTGAGTTTCAATGTCAGTATAGTATCCTATTCAAGATAATGCTTATTTAATGAAGGAATAGTTTTTGCTTGATAGTCTTTAGGTGGGAAGATTGAAACCTGATCATTATAGAAAGCCTGGCAGTAGTGCCTTATGGTATCTCAAGGCTGTGTGTGTGTGTGTGTGTGTGTGTTTGAGATAAGGTCTCATTATATAGCTCAGGCTTGCTCTAAACTCTAGATCCTCCTGCCTCAGCTTTCCAAATGTTGCATTTACAGCAGACTTGAAGCATGCTTCTCAAACATGTTCATGTCGTGGTGTTGTGTCCCACAACCTCCACTCCCACCCCCTCTGTCTCAGTTGCATCCAGGACCTCAAAGGAATCCTTTCCTTCAGGCCTTTAACACTAGTAGTTGTGTTGGATAGACTGGGGGTGTGGCTCAGTGATACAGCACTTATCTAGTACAGTAAGGGTCTGAGTTCTATTTCTGGCACCACAAAACAAAAAGCAAACAAACAAAAAAACATATTTGTAGTTCCCTTTTGTTTTTGTCTTTTCAAGACAGGGTCTCCCTGTAGCCCCAGCTGTCGTGGAACTCACTATGTAGACCAGGCTAGCCTTGAACTCACAGAGATCCGCCTGCCTCTGCCTCCCAAGTGCTGGGACTACAGGCATGCTCCATCATGCCCTGCTAGTTCCCTTCTTTTGGCTCTTACAGGCATACCTTTATTTCCCTATATTTCAAACTGCAGAAAGAGAAAGTGTAGACATTAACATCATAAAGTTTTCATCTTTTACCTTACCATGAGAGAGCTAAACAGACAAGTTCTGCAAATTCTTAGTTTTGTAAAAGCCTTTTATAAAGCTTTCTATAAGAAAGTGTATTTCAGCCAGGTGTGGTGGCGAACGCCTTTAATCCCAACACTTAGGAGGCAGAGGCAGGCGGATCTCTGTGAGTTCAAGGCCACCTTGGTGCTACATAGTGAGTTCCAGGACAGCTGGGACTACAGGGAGACCCTGTCTCAAAAAGACAACCCCCCTCAAAAAACCAAAATGTATTTTTTTTTTTAAATGTTTATTATTATTGGTGTGCATGTTCGTGTGTGTGTGTGATCAGAGGGAAGGGCATGCCATGGCTCATGTGCAGAGATCAGAGAGACAACCTAGGAAATTTTCTTCTTCTACCTTTACATGGATTCCAGAGATCAAACTCAGGTTGTCACGATGTGTGGCAGGTGCCTTTACTCATGGAACCATCTTGCTGGCCCCCTGTATTTCTTTATTGTTGAAATGAAAAAAAGCAGTAACAGTTTTTTTCTAAGACTAGGTGTGGACTCATTTGTCTGACTAAATTAGTGATTGAATGGATGGGATATTTGTAATCTTTTTTTTTTTTTGGGGGGGGGTCTTTTTGAGACAGGATCTTCCTGTAGCCCCAGGTGTCCTGGTACTCACTATGTAGACCAGGCTGGCCTCGAACTCACAGAGATCCACCTGCCTCTGCCTCCCGAGATTAAAGGCGTGAGCCACCATGCCTGGCTTGTAATCTTTTTTATTTTTATTTTATATGTATGAGTGTATTGCCTGCATGTATGTAACTGCACCCATGTCATGCAATGCCCGAGGAGGTCAGAAGAGGGCGTCGGATTCCCTGGAACAGGAATTACAGACTGTTAGCTACCATGTGGGTGCTGGGGATCTAACCCAGGTCCTCTGCAAGAGCAGCCAGTGCTCTTAACTGCTGACCCATCTCACCAGCCCCATGAGATATTTGTAATCTTAGTGCAAGTGACAAAAACTACCATGGGTCATTTCCTCTGGCTAGTATATCCTTAAGAGGGATTAACCCCCCGGGTTATCTGCTTAGAAGTGAGACTTGTTCATGGAAGAAAGACTCAGTCTTGCAGAGACAGCAGCACCTGTCAGTAGCATAGCCTTTTGTCGATCTGAAACTGCTATAAAAAGAGCAGAGAAACTGCATTCTTGTACATCAAGTACTGAAAAGATAGTTTTATGTTTCTTACAATTCTTAGGCATATAGCCACTTAAAAATTTATTACATTTATTGTGTGCATGTGTGTGTGTGTGTGTGTGTGTGTATGTGTATGGTGTATATACACCACAGTGCATGTATGGAGGTCAGAGGACAGCTTGGGGGAGTCATTTTCCTGGAGATCAAACTCAGGTTGTCAGGCTTGGTGGCAAGTGCAACTGAACCATCTCCACAGCCCTGTTTGTTTGCTTTTTGAGACCAAGTCTGATACAGGATTTGATATAGCCATCCTGGCTTCAAGCTCTGGTTTTGTTGTTTGTTTGTTTTGTTTTTTTCGGTCTTTTTGAGACACGTAGCCCCAGCTGGCTTGGAACTCACTATATAGACCAGGCTGGCCTTGAACTCGTAGAGACCAACCTGTCTCTGTCTCCTGGGTGCTGGGATTAAAGATATGTGCCACCATACCCGGCTTCAAGCTCCTTTTTATAATTAAATTTTTTTGAATTTCATACAATATATATTAGATCTCCTCCCCTATCTGCAACCCCCCATTTAGTAACCCCCACCTGATTTCATGTACTATTTTACACACACACACACACACACACACACACTCTATGTGTGTGTATGTGTGTGTGTGTGTGTGTGTGTGTGTATATATTTATTTATTATTGAGGCCTATGGAGTCAGAGTTGTGTAGCTTCAAACTCTTTATCATCCTGCTTCCATTTCCCAAGAGCTGGGAGGCCTGTGCCACCACACCTGGTTGACTTATTAAACTTAAAATATATATCCTTTTCTAATCAGCTTAGGAATCTTTATGCTTTTCAATTGACTATCTCCCTGAGGATTTAGTTAAACTTGGGAGAATAGTAAATTCAGTTTTGTTACCTGCCTCTTCCTATATTAGCCACAGAGAAGAGAAGCTAAGCTAAGAAGATTTCAGTAAATTTCTTCTGTCATTTATGATTTTAGAAAGCAGAACTACCTGAAAAATGATTTTGGATATTTTACTAATAATCATATGGGCTGAGTGAGCCTAATTTGAAAATCCAAACTCGGAAATGTTCTAAAATCTGAAAGTTGGAATGCCAACATGGTTACCAAAACAGGAATATTCCATGCTATGAAGCTTTGCTTCATGCATGAAATTATTAAAATTACTGTCTGCTATTACCTTCAGGCATGTATATGGTGTGCTTGAAACATGAATTTAGTGTTTAGTCTTAGTCTCATCTCTATGACACTCAGGAAGAAGTGCTTTGTCTAAGGAATGTGAACTATATCTGAGCCAGTATTTAAGCCCTGATTTATGAATACAAATCTGTTGCCTCCAGTTCTCTTCTTGTTGCTGTTACTGTTACTACTATTGTAAGGGAATCACATTCCGTAGCCGTCTTTTGAGTGTTCTGAGGCAAGGTTTTGCTATATGCCCTGTCTAGCCTCAAACTAATTATGTCAGCTGTTAGGATTACAGGTGAGAGATACTACACCTGACTGTCAGTAGACTTGCATTATTTAGGAGGGGGAGTTCAGATTATTCATACTACATCTGGGGCTACAGAGAGACCCCCGTCTCAACAAGAAGAATGTTAGCTTTGATTTCCACAGTCTTAGGCCAATGTTTATTATTTTCTATTACCTAAGGGTTGAGTGTGAGAGGTACAGCATATACAGCTTCCATAGGTCCCAGACTTAGAGTTTCATTGTTGCTGTTTGTTAACATTTTATGTGCTATTCCTTTTATGTTTGTCTTTATACTAAAGTCTGTGGTTTTTTTGTTTTTTTTTCTGTCTGCCCTTTTTGGGGGTCTTTCTGCAGCAGTGAGTCTAGCAGCAGTTCAAGTGATGACTCTCCAGCCCGGTCAGTTCAATCTGCTGCAGTCCCAGCACCCACTTCCCAGTTACTTTCATCTCTTGAAAAAGATGAGCCCCGAAAAAGTTTTGGGATCAAAGTTCAGAATCTTCCAGTACGCTCTACAGGTAAAAATTTACATGATTTAGCTACTGTTGAGGAATGAGAAAGACTGGGAAACTTGAAGTTCATATACTATAGTTGAAACAAGTTTTCCTTTTGTGGTTCATTAACATCTAATGCCGTGTAAGAAAAAGAAATTGCTTATTATAACATTATGTAACTTATTTTCTAAAGTTTGAGAGGAAAATGCAGGGCAGGCAAGCTGTAAATCTTGGCAACATGCCAGGAGGAGGGAGAACAAGAGAAAATGAGGCCTTGAATTAGGGTCCAGGAAAGCAGGCAGGTTCAGCAGTAGAGGTCTGCAGGCAGCTGCTTGGGGTTTGGGGGTTGGTGTTTGTTGTTTTGTTTTTAATTAATTTATTTTAATTTTATGTGTATGAGTGTTTCGTCCTCAAGCACGTAAGAATACCGTGTGTGCGCAAACCCACAGAGGCTGGAAGAGAGTGTTGGATCCCTTGAAACTGGAATTATAGATAGTTGTTAGCCATCATGTAAGATGCTGGGAATCGAACCTGGGTCCTCTAGAAGAGCAACCAGTGCTTTTAACCAATGAGCCATCTCTCCAGCTCCTAATTTTTGTTTCTTATTGAGATAGTATTTTACTCTAGCTCTAGCTGGCTTGGAACTCACTATATAGACCAGGCCTCCCTTGAACTCAAAGAGATCTATGACTGCCTCTGCCTTCAGAGTATTGAGACTAGAGGTGTACAATACCCCACCTGGTCCCAGGTGGGGTTTGTTGTTTTGTTTTTTTTTTTAAAAAAAAAGAACCAATGAGAAAGCCCAGAAGAGGAAAGCATGCTTAGGATTTTGGCTTGTATCTGAAAAGAGACAGAAAGAAGGAAAAGCAAAAGTTATATTTTTTGAGTTAGAACTCAGAAAAGCAGACATACTTAGCCTTACTTAGCAAAGTAAGCAGCCGTCAAGTTTATTTTCTACCTTGTTACCCTTGTACATATAAAGATTGTGTGGTCAGGGCTGGAGAGATGGCTCAGTGGTTAAGAGCATTTGCAAAAACCAGGCTTGGTTTCCAGTACCCACAGCAGGGCTCACAGCTGTTTGTAACTCTAGTTACAAGGAATCTGATGCCCTCTTCTGTCCTTCTCGGGCATTGCATGCACGTGGTGCACACACATACATGCTGACAAAACATTCATACTCATAAATAAGTCTTTAAAAAAGATTGTGTGGTGAGTGGTATTTTATTTATGGACATTACATACACATGTATTTAAATGTGTATACTTATGATGTATATACATGGCATATAAAAAAAGCACAGCTTATTTTCTAATAGATACTTTTCTGGATTAAATATTTTGGTATTGGGGAAATAGTTTGCTTATGGGATTGTAGTTAACATTAGAAAAATTAACTTACTTTTGTTATGTAGATACAAGCCTTAAAGATGGCCTTTTCCATGAATTTAAGAAATTTGGCAAGGTGACTTCAGTGCAGATACATGGAACTTCCGAAGAGAGATATGGTCTAGTATTCTTTCGGCAGCAAGAGGACCAAGAAAAAGCACTGACTGCATCAAAAGGAAAACTTTTCTTTGGCATGCAGATTGAAGTGACAGCATGGATAGGGCCAGGTAAGAGACAGGAAGTGGTGTTCCTGTCACACTGCACGTGCACTTTTATATATATATATATATTTTATTTATTACTTTTATGTGTATGAGTGTATTGCCTGTATGTATGTGAGTGCACCTGTGGACGTCAGAAGAGGGCATCAGAATCCCCTGGAACTGGAGTTAAGGACAGTTCATAGCCACCATGTGGGTGCTGGGACTTGAACCCGGGTCCTCTGCAAGAGCAGTCAATGCTCTTAACCGCTGAGCCGTCTCTCCAGCCCCACGTGCACTGTCTTTATTCCAGTTTATGGGGGCAACATACTTCTCTTGAGGTGGATGCTGGTCTAGTTTTGTTAAGCAACATACTACCAGTGTATGTAAACTAACTTTTTAGCTTTGTATTTATTTATTTTTACTATATGAGTGTTCTCTCTGCATGTATTGTAAATGTATCTATGCCATGCAGTGCCTCAGATTTAAGATTTGCCTGGGTTACAACAAAATAAGTAAATAACTCAACTATTTCTTGGGTGTTAAACAATTTGGTCAAAAAGCTTTATATAGTGAACAGCTTAATAAACTACCCTTACCACTTGAAGATCAGATTGCTCATCTCCTGAATGCTCCTATAAGATCTTCCTTACTTAATACTTGCTATACAACTGAGCCTAGCCTTACTTAGACTCCTTTCTCCTGCCTCCACCTGCTGGGATTATAGGTATGTGCTTTCTATGCCTGGCCTCATCTTACTTTTGGTTTGTTGTTTTCTTTTTTTCTTTTTTTTTTTTAAAGTTTAGGAATTGAACCCTGTGCTAGGCAAGTGCTTTATCTCTGCACTCTGTACCTAGCTCTTCTACTTACCTTTCTGATGGTCTTGTTTTATATTAAAAAAAAAAAAAGCATGGTAACACATGCCTTTAATCTCAGCACTCAGGAGGCAGAGGCAGGTGGGTCTCTGTGAGATCATGGCCAGCCTTGATCTCAGTCTATATAGCTAGCTCCAGATCAGTTGGGGCTACAGGGAGACCCTGTCTTAAAAAGACAAGGGAACAACAACAAAAAAAAGTAGATAACATGTAGTACTGAAGTATAATTACCATCAAAACCTTGAATGTCTGTGTCCTGGACCAAATTAATAAGCAGACCTTTATTTAGAAAAGACCTTTGAATAAATCAGAAATTAAGCCAAGGCTTTTCATCATAAAAAATAGAAACCTTATGAAACATTCTGCCTCTTCCCATTGGTCACTGGGGATTATACAGCAGCGAAAGGAGCTAGCTCGTGGGTGGGCTGCAGTCACTTTACTTAATAGTTCTTGGATCTAAAAGTCTTGATTTTGACAGTTGAGTTACTGTGTTAATGTGGCAGACATGAAATGTTGACTATCATAAGATGTTGAAAAGTAAATGAAATTCAATAATGAAGCGGGACTATTTCTGCTGAATTGCATTTTCACTTTAGATTATTGTATGTTTGTTTATTTGTTGGAGACAGCCCACAACAGCCTGGAACACTCTGTGTGGCACAGGCTGGCCTTGAACTCTCAACCCTCCTATTTCTGCCTTCTGAGCACTAGGATTACAGGTGTGTATCACCATGCCCAGTCAAATTGTAGTTTCATACTTTACATTGAGAGCCTGGAACCAGGATGGCTCAGAGGATAAAGGCACTTTCCTGGCAACCTGAGTTCCATTCCCAGAACCTGCATAAAGGTGGAAGTAAAGAACTGACTTAACAAAGTTTGTTCTCTGACCTTCACACATGCCCACACACACATCATGCCTACATACAATGATAAAATTAAAAAAAATTTAATTATAAAGAAGCCTGCTGCATAATTTGACACCCAAGATGAAGCTTAGTTACATTTTTGCTGGAGTTTAAAAATATTTCTATGCTAGTGATTACTTTCAAAATAAGTCAGTTTAGCCCTCTGAAATTCCTTGTCCATTTTCTCTGTTAAAGAGATTAAACAGCATTTCCTTGAGGGTTAAGTTGCCTTAGCCTTTTGTTCCTGTTTTTGAGTTAACAGGAGGCAGCTACTCAGAAGTATTTATAGTTTCAGTGAATATTCAAACTCATTAAGCGATGAATTTTTTGTGCTGATGAGATTGCTCAAAGGGTAAAAGTACTTGCTGCAGAAACCTAACAACCTGAGTTCAGTCCCTAGAACCCATGGGAGAAGGAGAGAACTCACTCCCAAAAGTTGTCCTCTGACCTATATGCATGCATACACACACACACACACACACATACACACACACACAATGATAATAAATTAAAAATAAAATATAAAATACTTAGGTGTAAAATTCTTCTAAAAGAGGTGTTGGAGGGTGGGGAAAGTTGGCTCACCAGTTCACAGCTCTCTTTAACTCTAGTTCTAGGGGCTCTGGCACTGTCTTCTGGCCTTTGCAGCCACCAGGCACACATGTGCATATTCATGTGCCCAGGCAGACACTTGTTCACATGAAGATAGATACATTTTTTTTTTTTTTTTAAATGTGTATGAGTGTATTGCCTGAGGAGGTCAGAAGAAGGCGTTGGATTCCCTGGATGGTTGTTAGTCGCCATGTGGGTGCTGGGAATTAAATCTGGGTCCTCTGCAAGAGCAGTTAGTGCTCTTAACTGCTGAGCCATCTCTCAAGCCCCGTTAAATACATTTTTAAGAAAAAGAGATTTGAGGGTTTTTTTCTTATTCCTTGTTCATTTGAGATGGCATCTTGCTGTCTGGTGTAGTCTGGTCCTGAACTCATAGACCTATTACCTCTGAGTGCTGAGACTACAGGCCTGTGCCACCAGGCTCAGGATGAGATTGAGTTTGTTAAATTCAGATTTTTCTGAATAAGTAAATTATATATTAAAGCACCCTGTTTTGCTCTGCCCCCATCCACTTAACAGAAACAGAAAGTGAGAATGAATTTCGGCCTTTGGATGAAAGGATAGATGAATTTCATCCCAAAGCAACAAGAACTCTTTTTATTGGCAACCTTGAAAAAACTACTACTTACCATGACCTTCGAAACATTTTCCAGCGCTTTGGAGAAATTGTGGTATGTTGCTTTAATAATGAAATATTTTAGGTCTTTGTCATAAAACCTAAGCACAGGATATAGACTATATTTGGATCTGTAGTATCTTTAAAAGTGTAATGAATGTTTTTTCTTGTTTGTTGCATTCTTTTTGTTTGCTTTGTTTTAAAGACCACCGTCTTATGTAGCCCCAGCTTACCATGAACTCCTGATCCTCCTGATCCTCCCCTGAGTATTGGGATTATAATGCTCCCACCCCCATTTTGAGACAAGGTCTTGCTATGTATCCCAGGCTGGCCTTGAACTAGTGGCAGTCCTCCATCCTCATCTTCCACAGCCTGTGTCACCAACTCAGCTGCTCTGTTCATTGAACTGCTGCTAAGAGATGATCCAAGGAAGCACGTTGGATACTATTCTGTATATGCACATAAAACTGATGCATTTATTTTATTTACATTTTCTCTTCATTTTTTGTTTCTTTGTCCATTGGGTTCTTTTATAAAAATTTTGTAGCTGTATGATGTGTATATGTGTTTATGTGTAAGTGCAGACACATGCCATTGTGCCCACGTGGAGCTCAGAGAGCAATGGTAGAACAACACAGTCCTCACCTTCCACCTTGTTTAGGCAAGGTCTCCTGTTTGCCTTTGTGTGCTCTAAGGCTAGCCGCCCTGCCTAGGGCATTCTGGGGATTCTCTTGTCTCTTTCCCAACTTGGTGCAGGAGCACTGGGAGCACAGATATGTGACACCTCATCTAGCTTCACATGGTTATGGAGATCTGAACTCTGGACCTTTCTGAACCATCTCCCCAGCATTGGGTTCTGTTTTAATGTTACCTGTAGCCCTGTGAGTTTAAAGGAAAATACAGAAAAGAAAGCATGAGTAAAAACAAAGCAACAGAATTAGCTGCACATTAACTATATGGGGGATTGCTAGAATGCAGATGTCTTGGGTTGGAAGTTCTATCCTGTTTTCAAGTTTTATTTAAAATTGCCTTTTACATTTGCAACACCTTAGATTTAAAGATTCAAGTCTTTTTTCCTTGTGACTCAAAACTTGAGTCAATTTATATTGAAAATAGTTTGGTCACAGCTTGATACTCTTTTAAAAAAAATACTATCTCAAGCTGGGTGTAGTGGTACATGCCTTTAATCCCAGCACTCGGGAGGCAGAGGCAGGCAGATCTCAGCCTGGTCTACATAGTGAGTTCCAGGCCAGCTGGGGCTACAGGGAGACCGTCTCAATAATAGTCATAATCCTAATAATGAGTCCTGGAAGATC